AAATCCATAAATGCTGAAAGGCAGATTTTGGACTAATCAGGAGGCTCACTGCCTCTCTAATTAACCTGTTTGTTTTAATGGACATACTACCCTGCATTCAATACTCAAAGAACATATATTTTTTTTCAGGCTGACACGTATTTTCTCATTTCATCAATTACTAGGCTATAATTAGAACATAAATGAAGTCTCATAATATATGAAAGAATAGATATCACATAGACCATCATCTCTGACTACATGCAATGGAGTTAGATATCAACTTTAAATGATAAATTAAAAACCCCCAAGCATTTGGAAATTTTAAAACACATTTAAAATCACACATAAAAATAACTACTGGGTCAAAGAAGAAATTATAATGAACAATGAACTTACTAAAAATGTCCAGATGGTAGTGAGCTAGAAAGCTCTAGGAGACTTCTTTAGGATGATGAAATTAATAGACCACCTGAAGCACCTGAACATCCTGAGAAGAAATTTAGACAATTAGTGAAGGCCTTCAGTTTGAATTGGTAAAAACAAAACTAAGAAAATGCATTAAAAAACCCCAAAATAATTATAGCAGGAAAAACAAAAAGCTTTGCATTAAAAAATAAATCATAGTGTATTACATGTCTCAAGTAAGAGTTGCATTAACAGAGTCATAACATTCAATATTGACCTACCAAAATTATTATATAATTATATATTGGAAAAAGGGTGGGATGGCAAAGATATGAATGGTGGGTTGAGGGAAGAAAGATATTTACATCTTCATCTCCAACAGTGGGAAGACAATATATAATAACTATAGTAAAAAATTAAAGAAGTAATATTGTGCTTATGCTACTTAGAGAAATGGAAGTAAATAAATCAACTAAAAGAGATAGAAATGGTTGCCTTTCGGGATGGGATAATGGGGGAGGGTGTGGGTGAGAGTTTGCTGTTTTCCATAACAAATCTTGAATAACTCTATGATTCTAGACCAGGGGTTGGCAAATCTTTTCTCTAAAGGGCTGGGCACTTAATATTCTAGGCTTTGCAGGCCACATAGTCTCTTGCAAATGCTTAACTAAGCCACTGTAGTGCAAAAGCAGCCACAGACCATTTGTTCAGGAATGGATATAACTGTATTCCAATAAAACTTTCTTTATAGACATTGAAATTTTAATTTCCTGTAATTTCAAGTGTCATAAAATATTTTTCTGTTTTTCCCCAACTGTTTAAAAATGTAAAAATCATTCTTAGTGTGTGGGCTGTATAAAAACAGACTGGATTTGGACTGGGCTGTGGTTTGCTGATCACTGCTCTAAACAATGTACATTTAAAACTATCAAAATAAAACAAAATCCCAACACAACTCTTTCAAAAGTAAGACTAGAAGGAGAATTTTTTTTTATCTTGGCAAAGTGTACTTTTAAAAAAACTACAGAAAACATCTTTCTTTTCATGGTCAAAATGTGCATGTAGGCACTTATTTCAAAAAATCAGGAACAAGACAAAAATATCTGCTATTATCATTTCTATTTAGCATTGTACAAAATTCTAGAGAATGCAGTAAAACAGTAAGAAAAATATATAAGGATTAAAAAGGAAAAGCAAAAGTATCACTATGCACAGACAAGTATAACTGTGTAGGAAGAAAATGCAAAAGAATCTACAAACTATTACAGTTAAAAGAATTTAGCAGGGTGGCTGAATATAAGTTCAACATATAAAAATCTATTATTTTGATATACCTGCAAGAAACAGTTAGAAAACATTAAAAAATATACTGTTTATAAAAGAAACCACTGAAAGCAGATTTATTTTAAGAGAAGGTCTAACAAAAGATGTGCAAGAAGTTTATGGAGAAAATTATAAACTTTTATTGAAAGACATTATGGAAAACCTGAATAAACGGTAGTGTTAGGAAGACTCAACATCACAAGAGAGATCTACTCTCACCAAATTGACTTAGTGCAATCTCAGTCAAAATTCCAACAGGGTTTTCCACAGAACTCTACAAACTGACTAAAATTTATTTGGAAAAGCAAAGGGTCAAAAATAAAAATATTCCAAGAGGAGGAACCAGGTATGAGGCTTGCCTTACTAGACAGCAACACTTAAAAAGTTGCTGTAATTAAGACTGGAGTTTTTGGCATAGGGATGGATGAATTTGTTCAACATCACAGACACAGACTCATGAGTATGTGGAAACCTAACACATGACAGAGATGGCTTTGATGATGTTGGCTGAACCTCAGTTGTGAGGATTCAATAATGTAATATATGTAAAAGACTTAAAATGCTCCCTGGTACACTGTAAATGCAAAATAAGTGTTAGCTGCTATTATCTTTACACTCACTCCTAATGCCCACTTTACTCTCTTTTCCCCTAATATTCAAAATTTCAACTTCATCTCATTGGCCAGAACTTCATCGTACATCCACACCTGACTATAGGTGAGCCTTAGAAGAGAGAATCTTTGAGTTGGGTGGCCATGGTCCAACCAAAAACTGGGTTCTTTTACAGGGAGAAAGGAATATGTCTTGGGAGGCCATTAGTCTCTGATATAAAAGCTAATGTCCAAATTGACTTTTGACAATATTATAGTTGGTTAGGGGACCAGGCCTAGAAGGCATGCTCTTGACTGAGGGATGGACTGGCATGTGTAAACTCAAGAAGGTTGGAAGCAGCAGGACCTGTTTCAGGAACTGCAAATGGTCTGGTATCACAGCAGAGCAAAGTGGGTATAAATTGCAGAGTAGATAGGCAGAAAATTTAGAGAATAACCAAAGGGCAGACTGGAAGAAGCCTTGCGTTCCATCCTATGAAACATAAACTCCATGCCAAGGACAATAGAATCCACTGAAGGACTTAATGTGGGGCATTCCCTGATCAGATAGGTTTTGAGAAACTTCACTCAGTGGTGTGGACAATAGAAAGAAAAGATCTGTCATATATCTATAGTAAATGATAGGGTTGGGAAGACTGACTCTTGCCCAGGTGAGAGATTATTTTGTAAGGAAATATATGAATTAACATATTAGGAATCTTTTTGGCAGGTACACATAGGACTATGACAAATTACAGAGAGAAATGTCTTTAGTGAGTTATTATCATAGATTTTTCTATTGGAGGGAACATACTTTATATTAACAAACAAGTTCACTACGATCTTGGCATACATACACACACACACACACACACACACACACACACACAATGTTTTGATACAGAATAAACTGGTACTCAAGTTGTGGATATAGGGTTAAAGGCAAGGATTCCCAGGTGCCAGCAGGAAGGCACATTCTGAGGGCAATGCTCTTAAGTTCTTTGAAGCTTTCAAAATAGCATAATACTGTCCATATGGAATACCTCCCCTTCTAGTTCCCAGCTTGCCTTTCAGAAAGTACTGCTAAGAATGAAGTAGAAAGAAGGATATTTAACTCTTCAAAATGATTATCTGCCTTTGGTAGCCTAGGCCTGAGAAATATAGGACACCTGCTGTAATAAATAACTTTCAGATAGCACATTTCAGTTTATAGTGAATGTGCTTTAGATTTAGTATCTAATTTATAGTTCTCTAATAAAATATGAAGTTCTAGGTGTAGAATTTGATTTAAAGATACATAAGCTCAAGATAGGCAATCCCTGAGATTTCTTTTAAAACAAGGTTATAATGATTCAAAACTGTAAACATTTCTATAGTATGTGGTTGGCGTTGTTCTATGCCTCATATATGTATGAATGAATCCTCAAAACAATCCTTTAAGGTGTTTACTACTATTGTTCCCACTTTATAAATGAGGAAATTGAGGCACAGGCTAAATCACTTGGCCCTAAATCACATGGCTAGTAAAAGGCAGAGCTACGATTTGGACCTACACAATTTGACTATAGAAACTGTGCTTTTAGTTATATTACATGACACTGCCTCTTGCACTGATTTAATAGATTACTGAATATGCAGATTCAAATTGCTCTGACCTGTGACTTCAATGTATCACAATGACCTATTGGGAGACTAATCACAGTGATGAACCAAATGTAAGGAATACAGCAAAGTCAAACTCACGATCACACAGAAAGTAAAAGAAAAAATGTTTGTCAGCAATTAGGTACCAATGTTACGGGTTATTTTCCAATTTTGTTTCTTTCTTTTTTTTTCATCCTTTCTAAAATGCCCACTAAGACTGCAGGCGTCTGTTTTCTTGCCTGCCTTTTTCATAATCTCTGCATCTAGCATGGTACCTAGTGTGCACTCAAATACTAGCATGGCACCTAGTGTGCACTCAAATATTTGACCTACTCTGCAGATTCACGGGCCCCATGGAATGGTCTTCAAGCGACTTTTCACTTGCTTTATTAAGTTAGTTATTTTGGGTTCTTCCTGAGGTTACATAAGTAAGACCTTAATAAATTCTCACTGTTACAAAGATTAAAAAACTCGTAAGTAGACACAACAGAACCTTAAAATGACTTTCTAATCACCCATATACTCTTCCAGTTGACCACTGTCCGGTTTAGTGTGATTTGAGTTCACTTTCCATGCATTTACACGCACATATGAATTATACACGTTTATATAAAAACACAAATGTGGTTACAAATACGCATTGTTCTGCAACTACCTCCTGTCAGTTTCTCATGTCCATAAATCTACTTCATTTCTTTTAACAGCCATCTAATATTTCACAGTATGGACGTATAAACTTCATGTAATTACTCCCTATCGATGAACATTTAGATCGCTTACTAGTATCTGATAAAACCAAGCAGCAATGAACACTCTTGTGCAAATACCTGTATACACGTAGCACTACTGGGTACCACAGATCTCTGTTCACCAAAAAGCCATTTAGCAGGTAAGGGCATTTTAGAACCCACATAAACAGCGCTTCTTCTCCACCCCCTTGCCTTCTGAGTTGGAGGTGGGTAGAGAGCCGGTTGGTGGAAGATAAGCAACAGAGTAAAATTCCTCCCTAAGGTGTTCGTAAAGTAACTACTCTTCCACGCCGTATTTTCTCCTCAGGAACCATCCGCACAGGGTGCCCAGGAGAAGAGCAATAAGAGCTCCGACGCTAGCTACCCGCAGGGCGTCGGATACACGGGCTCTTGGAAGAAGCGCCTGGACGGCGACGTCCTCGAGGACCACGCCTTCCTGTGAAGCCCCCACCCCCCAAATTTTGCCCTTTTTAGGCTTGACTGAGGGAGCAACTTCCCTAGTATTAAAAGTGGCCTGGAGTCAGCAGGGAGAAATGTAAGGTATCGATGTGGCCTGAGAAGTAAACTGAACAGTGCGAGGCC